AGATAAAGTCCAACCTTTGACCAGACTCTACCTTGTCAACTAAACCATGGCACTCAGTGCCAGTCATTTCTTGAACACTTTCAGTGATGGAGGCTCCACCACCTCCCTGGGAAGCCCCTTCCAATGTTTAACAACCCTTTCCATGAAGAAATTTTTCCTGATGTCCAACCTGAACCTCCCCTGCTGCACCCTTTCCACTTGTCCTGTAGAAATCACTCTGACCCTAAAACAATATGTATGCTATTTCCCCACATGAATGTGCGTCACTTTTTTCACGTACAGGCTTTTTTATAATGTTTGTCTTTGCTCCAGTAAAAGGTTTTAATCATAGAACTGCGTGTTTTAGTGCTCTGCGCCACAAAATATGAACATCTTGGGGAAATGTGCATAACCCCTCTCTATTAAATCATGCAAACCTTCAATTTAAAGAAATTAACTGATCAGAAAAACACCTTTCTGTTTGAAATTTCAGAAGCAGAATGCACACTGCATCAAATGTGCATACACTGAGTTTGCCCTCGAACGCCTGGCCACTAAATCCCTCTCCTTCTGCAGCCCCTTGCTTGCTGTCCTGCAGTTTTGACCAAGATAACCCAAAGTGCCATCTCTGCTGTTCCCAGAGGACATCTGTTTTAAATGCCAAATCTACTCTTTTGGTCTGCCCTGCCCACCTGCACAGAGGAAAGAAAGGCTGTGAATTGTAACAGCTGGCAATCAGCACTTCATACCCTGCAACAGCCTTTGCAGTTTCCTCAGAAATACCTCCCCTGATTTTTCACTGTGACACTGACCCAGTCAAAGGGGTCTGGGAAGAAGTAGCATTTTAAAAAAATCTGCTTCAGCTCAACGTCCTGGTATGGATCAGCTTTTACTTTATAACATTTTTCTGTTAACCCAAAAAAAACCACTTGTGTGACAGTTTAGTTCCCATCCTTGTGCCGTTTGCTGGTTTGTACATCTCATCATTGTCGTGTCAGGGCACCTGTATTTGCTTAAAATTTTCCACAAGGAACTCGTTCAAAAGACGGTGTCAAACGTTGGCTCTCTCCCTGCCCCCCAATTTTAAAGAAGTATTTCTAGGAAGGTGCAGTCGGTCCATCACCAGCACCGAGTGGGTACGGTTTAGTTTAATCAGGGGATTCTCCAGGAAACCTCTAGCTCGTTGTTCTCATCCTGATCAGAAATCACCTGGATCAGGATTTCTGATAATTTAAGAGCACAATACCTACGACAAAAATAGCAGGGAGCCATCCCCCCAACACCTGGGCTTTGCAAACACAGGCTGGGGTTGCTGAAGCTGTTTGGTGAACTCCACAGGAGGAATTCGCTCCTGGCAGGTTGTCAGGAAAGGTGGAAGGACTCAGGCAAATACTTCAACTTCTTGGCAGTGGGTGTAGTTGTGCCCAAAATGATGGGCTTTTTTTTTTTCACTCATGAATATTTAACCCTAATATTGTACAGCCTCATGAGGCAGGAACTGAGAGGGCATGTTAAAAATGACTGATGGACAAAACATGTTTCTATTTAAATCAATGATTCTATGATTAATGCAGTGAAGAAAGGCCCTGTTGATTCCCTAACTAAATAAGCATCAGTAATGATATTTTACAAAATTACAGGACACTGAAGAACACCAACTACCCCCCCCAGTGTTGATTGTACTACATGTAAAATGAGCTCTTTTTAGGAGCTGCAGATTTCAGCTCCTAGAGGTTGTTGCCTTAATTTTCAGGGCTAGTTTAGGGGTGCACAGGAGCTCATACGTTGCTTTGCTCCTGAAGAAACATCTGCAGCCTACCTGGAAACACGTGTCTGGCTGTGATGCAAAGTGACAGCGACCACGTGAATGAAAACACAAAAACCACACCCTTGCCCAGGCCTTGGGGGAAATCTGACCCCGGGGAAATACAAATAATTCCAGCAACACTGTGTCCAAACTGTCCATTCAAGCACACTGGTGATCAGTGTTGGAGAATCCAAGACAACACCCATTCGAGTAAAGCATGCTGAAAACCCAAGACATTAAACTTAAATTAATAACTTCTGGCAACTGATTGGTGTCTTTGAACAGGGTTTGGGTGTTGTTTTCTTTTCTTTTGTCCCTGTGCTGGTGCTGTTGAAGGAAAAAGTAAAATAATGCTTCTTCCAATGTGATGAAATGCAGAGAGAGATCCTGTGAGACTTCCAGGCAGAGCCTCCACATGGAAGGTATCTTCAAATCAGAGGTGAGGGCAGAGCAAAGAAACTCTTTGTCACCTCCAAGGGGTGGCTTAAAAAAGGGGCCTGCGGGGACTTTATTGCACAGATATTTGAAGAATAACTCTGTCATTGTTCCTGTGCTGAGCTTGGATGAAGAGCATTCACACAAAACCAGTATAATTCAGGGGCTGTACCCATCTGTGGGTCATTCTCCCCTGCTCAAAGGTTCTCAGTCAAACCAGGCAGGGAGGCACTTTGACTGATAAGATGTGTGACAAATGATAAACTACCCCAGCAGCCCACCAGCCTCCTCGGGTGGCAGAGAGTCTCCCAAATCCCTCATGACTCCCTGCAGGTAATCCCTATGCTTGCAAAACCCATCACTGTGCTTGCAAAGCCCGGAGACTCAAACATATAGAGGTTTGCAAACATATAGAAGATGTGAATTCCTTCAGCTATTTGTAAATACCCAGACAGCACCTAATTAAAGACCTGTAATGGGAAGAATTTCTTGTGCTGCTGGTGGGCACGGGTGTCTGCCTGGGAGGCGGCAGTGAGCTTTAACCTTACTAAATATTAAAATTTTTGCAGCAAATTGGGAAGAGCAGAGGGGAAGGGTCATCGGGTAGAACCCCCATCCCCATTCTTAGAGGGATGGAGCAGCTCTCCTGTGAGGAAAGCAGATTGTTCAGCCTAGAGAGGAGAAGGCTTTGGGGTGACCTAACTGTGGCCTTCCAGTACCTGAAGGAGACGACAAGAAAGAGGGAGAAGGACTTTTCATAAGGGACAGGACAAGGCATGATGGGTTCAAACTGAAGGAGGGGAAAGTTACGTTTGATAGGTGGAAGAAATCCTTCAGGTGAGGGTGTGTGAGGTTGGTGAGGCACTGGCTCAGGTTGCCCAAAGAAGTTCCAAGCCCCATGCCTGGAAGTGCTCAAGGCCAGGCTGGATGGGGCTCTGAGCAACCTGGGCTAGTGCAAGGTGTCCCATGGCAAGGGGGCTGGAATGAGATGATCTTTAAAGAGATCCCTTCCAACCCAAACCATGCTGTGATTCTCTGGGAGCAGGGCAGGGATGTGTGTGAGGCCGGGGGCTCTCACAGCTCAGTTTGTGCTGGAGCTGGGAGCCCTCAAACCTGGCTGGACCCGGAGCACGGGGAGGTGTGGGCACCGTGGCTGCTCAGGGACAGGGAATTCTGACCCCCTCCCACGGCTCAGCTGTGATTACAGTCGGTGGAGGAGGAGCTCTGTGTTCTCCCTCACACTCTGAGTGTTATCTCACATCCAGAGTGTCCACCTGCCTGCTCTTGTAGCACCCACCTCAAAAATCCAGAGGGGAGTAGCAGGGAGTGTTTCCTGACCTGCTGGCTGTCACAAGCGAGGAGTTTCTCAACCAGCAAGTGCTGCAGGAGTCGCTGGGTGCCCAAAGGCAGCTCAGCTCAGGGGATTCTGTGGTTTCCCATGTTGGGTGGGAGGTTTTGCGAGGCTGTGTCACATCTGGGTTTGCAGTGAGTTTGCGGGCCCAGCTTTGAGGTGCAGCCTTTACTGGGATGTGCTGAGCTCTCGAGTCTCTGACCAAAGCTCACCACCTGAGCAGAGTCAGTATCTGACAACCCCAGTGAAGGGGACCCTTGTTTTATCCTAAAAATCAAATTAACCTGCTTCCTCCAACCTTTTCTTAATCCTCCGCCTGAATCCCATCTTATCATTGTGTTTTTTTGTGGTCAAACAGCATCAGACAGAGTAGAAGAGAAGAAAATGAAAACAAATTGAGGTACATATTTAAAGTTTCCACGTATACCTGGGGCCAAGGTGGTTGGAGAGAGGCTTGTGTGGCCTGAGTACCACCAGCTAACACATGAGAAAAGTATATGTGTCCTTAACAGCAAAGTGTTCTAAAGTTTATTGGTAACGTGGATTTTATTCAGCCCCTTGAAGGAGCACAGTTAACATTTGTTAACAACTCAGCCTGATAAAGCCGTGGTTTTTAGTAATTTATCCCTGCATATATATGTGTGTGTGTGTGGGGGGATATATATCTAGATATGTCAAAGCATTCAGAAGGTGAAGTTCTGCTCTCCCAAGTCTGTCTCCAGAGGACACAGCCACTGACCTGGAATTTGGGGTATTCCTGCTGAACTGGGACACAGGAGGAGTCAGTCAAGGGTAACATCAAGGTGGCTGTGAAGGACTGAGCCTTGACTGCCAACATCCTTACGTGGGTCTTCAAGGCATTGCCTTGAAATGAATGGTGAAATGTTGAATATGGAGAAATGAAAGGGGTTTGCCTCCCAAAAACACAGCCCTGTGCCTACCCACCCCCTCCTCCCACCTCGTGACAAGATTGGAGAGAAGGTGTGAGTCAGCCCTCCAATTTTGATCCCACCACTTCGAACCCAGTGGAATTACAGGCAACAAAAACCTGGCTCCTGGGAGGAAGGAGTTTAATGTAAACAGCCCATATAAACACAAACACGTACAAAAAGCAGAACCGTCTCACAAATAAATAAATAGCTGCGCTTTGCTCCAGTTACATGCGAGCAGCAACCAGTCTAAGCTCTCACAGCCCACCGCTGTGGAACAAACCTTACAACCAAGCAAGCCCACCCTCCACAGACATGATATTTTGCCCTGGCGTATAAATGACAGAGAGCACCTGGAGAGAGTGGCCCCTCTCCAGCGCTCCGTGGCACGGCCCTGACAACCCCCAAGTCCTCGAGGGGCAGTTCGAAGCATTCCGCGCCTATCAGCGAGGATGCTGCCACAGGGGCTCCCCTGCCCTCGCCCAGCAGGGATAGGGGGGCCTCACTCCTTGCCCTCCCCACCACTGCACTGCAGCTGCCCACCCTGGGGAGGGCAGGAGCAGGTCTGGGTGCCGCGCACGGTGGTGGTGCCGGCGGGCACCGCCATCTCGTCCTGGTCATAGCAGACACAGCGTGGGCACCCGTCAGCCACGGGGCTGCCCACAGCCTGGCAGGTTTGGGGCAGGGGTGGGCACAGCGGGGCGCAGGTGATGCCCGCCCCGGGGTGGCAGGTGCACAGCTTGCGGGCGAAGTCGATGTAGAAGGAGCGGCCGGCGGGGACGCGGCCGCTGGAGAAGCCTTGCATCTCGCACTCACTCTCCAGGTGAGGGGGGCAGGCGCAGGGCGGGGGGCAGGGGGGGCAGCAGCCCCCGGCAGTGGTGCTGGTTGGCCCCTCCAGGTCCCTCTCAGGGCACGGGGTGCAGGTGCTGGGGTCACACGTGGGTTTTGGGGCCACGCCGCCGAGCAGGAGGTGGGTGAGCAGCAGCAGAAGGGCGCCGGTGAGGGCCATGTTCCTGGGAGGGAAAGAGGAGATGTTCCTGGGGAGGGAAAGGGAATTAGAGGAGCAGGTGTCATACTGGGCACGGGCTCAGCAAGCCCCCAAATTCTGGGCTGACCCTTCAGTGGTTTAAAGCGAGAGGGATGCAGCCACCTCTCCCTGACACGCCCATGGCTGCGGTTTTGGTCATCCACAGCTGGCTGGCAGGAGAGTTTGCCCTAAAATGTAAACTCCTGTTCCCAAAAGCTCATCCTGGCTTCACCACAGTGTCCTCTGCCCCCAGGTGTTCAGATGGCTCCAATGTGGGCACTGGGTGAGCAAAGTCCACGTTGCAGCAAACACTGAGCTTTGGCACAGTTGCCCCCGGCCTGCAAGTGGCAGTTGTTCACCGCTGTATTGATGCTAATAATTTATGTGTAACTGGCTAATTAATTGTTCCTGGGAGGCATTCAGACATGGACAAAAGAAGGGCTCAAAGAAGCTCTGTCTGCTTTGGTGGCTCTCCCTGTGGCTGCAGTTGGGACCCTGCTGCTCCAGGATGAGGTCTGGGTGTCAGCCCCTAGCCTGTCCTGCTGTGCCACTCATCCCTGGCAGCTCCCAACCTACCTTTTCCAGCCACCTCACTCCCTCAGGGGAAGCCAAGGGGGCCGCTCTGTCCTTGTATTAACTGGAGAAGCCTTTTCCTCCTAAGGAAGATGTTTCCAGAGCTGGGCACTCCTATGGGATTCTGCTCTTTGCCTTCTTCAGTTTTTCAGCCTCCCTGTTTTCAGGAGGAGAGTTGCTCATGGCACGAAATCCCTTCCCTGTGCCTCCTCCCTCCTCCTCTTGCACTCACACCTCCTTGGATGCACAGCACCTGGCAGCCCATGCTGAATCCCTTCTCTGTTTTAAGACTGAGAACTCTTTTTTTTTTCTTTTTTTTTTTTCAGACTGACAGCTTTTCAAGACCCAACATTTCCTTAAGTGCACTTTTGGATCCCTTCCCTCCCTCTGAGCGACCTTAAATCCTGCTGTATCAAATACACCTGCTTCCCTCCTGCACTGGGTCCTTCCAGGTTGGGTCACTTCTCCTGTTGCCCCTGTGCCACCTTTGATTACAACTACCTCATTACCCTCATACTGTGCATTTTGGTAGCCCAAACCTCCTACTCTTGCAGACAGGCAGCTACTTGCAATCACTTCTTAACATTTCTTTAAACAAAAATATTTCCAAATTGCGTAACCATAAAGAAAAAAACTTGAAAGCACAGATTCCATCTGCCATCAATTTGGGGAAAAAAAAAAAAAAAAAAAAAAAAAAAAAAAGACTTTCGAGCTTCTGTGTTTTTACAGCAAACTCTTGCTTGTTAAAGTTACTGCTTTATCTTTGCTGCAAACTGCTGTTCTGCCCCTTCCTTTCATTCACACGTTTTAATCTAGTGGTTATTTTACCGTGATTCCCAGAGGACTGATGGCTGTGCTGAGCAGCACTGGAGCCCAAACACATTAATTATGGAAAAGCTGCTGCAACCCCACACCAAGAGCTCCCTCTCTTCAACCACCCCCCCACACACAGAGCAGGGCAGCATCATCAAACATCATTAAGTCAAAGGTTTGTCACACCTGAACCTCTGCCCAGCCCTGGCCAAAGCCTCTTTCCCCACGCAGCAGTGAAATCTGTCTTCAACAGAGACAATTTCCAGCACAACCACAGCATGGAGTTTGTCACTCAGCAGCAGCAGAAACCACCTCCTGCTATTTCCTAGTGAAATGTTCATCCTCCCCCTTAGCTCTGGAGAGCCAGGCTGGCCAAGGCTCTCCCCTCCTGCCCTGTGCCAAGTCCCCGTGGTTACCTGGTTACCTGTAGGGTGTCTGGGCAGTCAGGACAGGCGCTGGGATGTGGTGCAGGATCCTGAGAGGCGTCTCTGGTCTTCACCCCACAGCCCTCCCAGACTCCTATTTATGTGCCTCCGGTGGCGGCTGCACGATGAAACACTGGTGGGAGAGACAGGGAAGGCGGGGAAGCCTCCGAGGTGGCTGGGCAGGGCCAGCAAGATGCTTATCTTGCTCGTGGTGTTGGTTTAGTCTGACCACAGACTAATCTGGCATGTCCCAGCGTCTGCAGGTCTGACACCTCTCCCCACGCCCCTCTGTGCAGACTTCACCAGGGTTTCTGGAGTGCCAGCGGCCCCCTGTGCCTCACAGACTGCTGGGGAGAGGTGTGTGACCGTGTCCAGAGGGAAAACAAAATGATTTAAACGCTCTAGTGAGGCAGCAGAGGTGGAGGACAGCCAGCTCCAAAATGCTCCCCCTCAGGAGCCGGTGGTGGGCATGGACTTTCTCAGAGTGCACATCCCTGTCTCCACAGAGCTTCCCGGGACAGGGCAGCCCTCCCATGCCACACTCCTGGCACACACTGTTTAAAGCACCTGGGGGTTAAGCTGCAGGGTGCCAAGGCCATATGGCTCAGCAGAGAAGGGGTGCATGAGTTCCATGTGTGGGCATAACCCTGACCAGCACGGGCAGCCCCGGGGCCATTCGCTCCCTGGGGAGGAAATGTCTTATCCTGATGTACTAATGAGCCTGCTGGGAATGTGCCCCCCCCCCCCCCCCCAGGCTTGCAGAGCAGTGGGATGAAGAGCAGAGACGTCTTCCAGCAGATGGGATTGTGGAAAGCAGCAAGATTTATGTGAGCACTCACCGTCCTGAGCACTCAACCCTTGGAGCAGGAGGTGTTGGGAGAAGAGCACGGGCGAAAGCTGCAGATTGAGGGTCCGTCTCTTGCACCAGAGCTGAGCACCACACTCAGGGCAGTGGGATGGTATGATGCCTGAACCTCACCCTCCTCCTGCTTCCCTCTCATGGCCCCTTAAACCTGGAAAACCCTATTCTTCTGGTAGTTGTGTAGGACCCCCGTGTCCCACACCACCTGAGAGCACTGAGCTGTGCTGAGTTGGGCAGCTGCCTATCACTGGATGCATAAAATATTGATAGGGCCTTTGTGCCCTGGTGAATGCTGTGGGGCACGTTGGCAGCCTCGAGGTCACATCCTGTGGCAAACTACAGGAGACTTGATGCCAACAGCCCTGGCCAGGGCAGTGCCACTGTGGGACGTGCCTGCTCAGGGCAGCCCCCAGGGACAAGGGAGGGGGGCCCTTGGGAGCACCTTGGCGAGCCTGGCTCCGGCCCAGGTGGAGCAATCCTGAAATATCTGGAGCTCACACCCAGCTTTATTAGCTCCCACACTCATAGTTAACATACAGCAGCAGTTGTAAATATTCGTGGTCGATACTCAGCAGTTACTTCACCTGCGCTGAAGTGCAGCTGCGTGTCCTGTAGCCTGTCCCTGCTGCTGCTGCTGCTGGTGATGATGATGGTGATGATGCTGATGCTGGGAGCACTGGGCATTGGGCTAATCCATAGCAGCCACGAGCATTTGTGAAGGGCTACAGAGCAGCAGAAGCCTGGGCTGTCCTGTCCGTACGTGCTGTCAACCCGTTACCTGGGTTTTCAGCAGGTTGTTTTCTGAGAGTTGCCACTTTCTGCACTCCCAGGTGAGTGCCCAGGCACAGCCCCAAGGGCCACATGCTCAGCACCCCGGGGCAGCAGCCAGCTCTGCAAGCAAACCCTCCATTTAAGCACATCAAATATTTCATTTATTCCTGCTCAGACTCACAGTAAAGGAATGTTTTTTGTGTGAACCCACACAGTTTCTGAGCAGACAGCCCTTTAGCATGGCTTGTTCCACACAGCCAGGCCTGTTGCATAGAAGAACATGTTACAGACAGGGGCACCAGGAAGGGTCTGGCACGTCCCAGGCCGGCCCAAATCCAGGCTCAGTTCTGGGTTTCATGGAGTTATGCAGCACTTCAAGACTTACTGTTTTGAGTTGTGAACACATCCACGCACTAACATCCTTCACTTTGCAACAGAATTGCTAAAATAAATGCAGTATGATGAGGCTGAGCTAATAAATTTTTATTTTTCTGGACAAATATGGTTATTGCTCCAGTAAAAATTCGCAGAAGATCTGATAAGAGCTTGTGTCACTTAGGAAACAATAGACAGCAGAGACACTTTTCCTAAATATAAATACTTCAGCATTCTATAAGTTAATAACGGTCTCTTACAAAGCAGATTAGATTGAGAATATGGACTAGCCACTTAGGAGCTGCTCCAAGGTAGCAAGAATTTCAAGTTCAGCTTGTTGCTGAGACTTATAGAAAGATTGCAAAGGTCTTTGGGTCTTTCAAGAGCACCTCCCCCTAAAAGGTTTTGATGGCACTTCGGTTTGGTCCCACAGCTTTCTTTTCATATTTCTTCTCATTTATGTTTTTGGCAGCCATGGCAAATGGCTCTTCTGGCCTTTATTATCAGTTCCTGGGACGCAGTAAGCCTGAGAGCAGAATTAAGATCAAACTTGCCTTCCCCGGGACAACACGGGCAGCGCACAGGTACCTACAGCTGGCAGACACTCCAAACCCCCACCTGCTAAAATCAGGAACAAACTTCCCCTGTCCACCCCTACCCCACCACGTTACCTGTCCAGCCCTGGGAAGCTCCTTGTGACTACACATGGCTATCAAATGCAATTTCTTCAGTTATCTTCACTTTGGTGCCACTCTGCGTGGCATTTGGCAGACAAATATTGGTACATTGCAATTTTCACCTAAGTCATTTTTGAGAAACTGTCACTGGATTAGAGCAGAGGGTGCCCTTGGCCAGGTGTTTTGGGCCCTGGGGGGGGGCACACCTGGCCCTGCTGGAGGATGTGGGGGCAGCCGAGCAGCTCTGCTACTTCTTGTCGTTTCTGCTGACGAAGGTGAGGAGGTCCATTGCCGTGACCACACCAAACACCATCTGCTTCGTGAAGGAGCTGCCATTTCCATCGACTGTAAGCACAGAAAATGCCAGTTGAGTGGGAAAAATCCCCCCAAAATATAACCCTTCACTCCTCTACTCTCTACCCCCACCCCCTGTCAGCTGTGCAGAGGCTGCTGTTCAGCATCTGCCTCTGCTCCACCCCCACAGAAATGATGCAGCCTCAGTCAGGTTACTAAGATTGCACCAACAAGGTTTTAACTGCAAATTATGCACCCTTTCCCAGAGAGGAAACTTAATTTCCCAGTTGCTTTACCCAATCTCTGTTCCAGTCCTGTTTCTGCCACCACAGAACTTTTCAGGCCAAACTAGTGAGACTCTCTAAGAACGGCAGTGAGAGGCCCTTTCCTACTCTGTTCTCATACCGTCCTGCACCACCACTAATAAAGCAACACTTCCACAATTGCTTTAACTGTCTGATAAATGTTTTCTTAAATAAAAGTAAAACTGGCCACCAGAGTCCAAACACAAGATAAAATGCAAGCTCCGAAGGTGTGGGAAGAAAGTAATAAATAAGGGGGTAACTGTGACGGCATTAAAACAGCAGCTCTGGAAAAGAAAGCGGGTGTTGTTTGAAATCCAGAGCAAGAGGCACTGCATCCAGCTGGCTGATGTTTCTTTGTGGGTGCCATTTAATTTGCTGATGCCATTTAACTCATATCAAAATGCGATGCAAAATTGTTTTATGACAGCATAGCTGAGGAAGGGAATTCTGCCTCGCGTTGATTTTTTTTGTGAGAGAGTTAGAAACGTGCATCAAAGGAAGTTTTGAACGACAGGCTTTTGTTTGCAACCTTTTGATGGCTTGACTTGCCAGCTTTAGAGCTGATTTTGGGTCAACAGGTCCTGGAGATACAAGTAGAGGGGTTGGATGTTTGGGCTTGGTGGGTCCCAAGTTCAGCAGGCAGCCCCTTGCTGGCAGTACTGGACACTGCTCACAGTAGGGATGCTCTGCGTGCTCAGTGTGCAATCTCATCAAATCAACATAATTACACCCTTCAGCTGTAAATTGCCAGACCTAAACACGGGTCTTCCGACGGCTTTTTCACGTTGCTCACTCTTTTCAACAAGGCAACTCCCTCCAGATAAGGTCAAATTTGTACTTGTAGAAGTTTTATGGCACTGGAAGGGTGTGTTAGGTCGGGTTTGCAGAGCAGCACCTTTTTTGGTCAGAGGAGGAACAAGGTGTGATTCCTGCTGCCATCAATGTGTCAGCAGCCCTCACGCTGCTGTGGTCCTGCTGCAGGTGACCCTACTGAGTCGGTTTGCTGCACCAGGGAGGGGCTGGCTGCACACTGGATTGAGAATAAACCAAACCTGCTCGTATGGGTGCTTTGTTGGACTGAATTGCTCCTGAAGTGGCTGGGAATTCCTGTACCCAGCCATGGCCCAGGTGAGTCTCATACACAGGTGCCCCAGGCTACAAACATCGATGCCCGTGACCCACCTGCCTGTGCCACAGGGATTGCTCCTGGTCTGACCCAGTTGTTCTCACCTTTCTCAGCTCACATGCCTGAATTCCACCTCAGCTTCGCCTGATGTGGCCAAATGCTCCTTTTGACCTTGCCCTTGGGGTATGGAAGTCGATGGAGATCCCTAAATCCCTCCTTGCTTCCTGTGCTGCCCGCAACCAGCAAGGCAGTGATTTGAATTCAATCTCAAGAGACAAGTGCTGTGCAGCACAGGCACTGCACCCCTCCAGTCACCTACAGTCCCCCTTGGCTGTCAGAGGGGACCTAATGAAACCCCACAATAATCCCAAATTCCTTGGGAACACCTTTTCCATGGGAAACCGTGGGAGGGGGTGAAGGGATGGAGTTGATGGATGCTTCAGTGTGGCCCCTGCATGGGGGCACAACTCAGCTCCCATGGCCAGGATCTGGGAAGTATTCCTGGAGGACACATCCAGTAGTGTGCTGGTCCTGTGGTTAAGGCTTCCCACCTCTCCCCTCATCCCTGTGGTGTCAGGAAAAGACATGGGGGAATAGTTGGCAATTCCAGGGATTTGCAGAGCCTTGAGGCAGAAATCCTTCCTGCAAAGGCTCAGGGGCTGCAGAGCTGGAGCAGCTGCAGTGATACCTTCCACTCTCAGTCTGAGAACTTCCCT